GACTGGATTTACCACTTTTTGAAGTGAAAGTGGAAATGTGGAATTCCCAAAAGCATTGAACGACAAATGGGTATGAAATGTGGGATATTTCAAGAGAATAATTTACAAAGTGGTTCGTCAGCCAAAATGTATCCATTGAAGAGCAAAAACATGCCAAGTTAATAAAATCACACCTGAGATTTGAAGAACCGAATACAGGGCCTTTATGAAGGTGGTCTATGAACGTTGGACAGGGCGTTGGCGAAGGACATTGTTAACAAATAAGAATACAGCGATACTGACCACAGAATATTTATTCAACTATTAAATTCTTGACGGGTACAACATTACCCTTATTCTTGATCCCATAGCACTAGCAGGAAGATTGTGTTTAAACCGTGCGCGCACTGCTCCACTGCGTCCATGAGGTTTCATCACTTTGCCCCATATGACGCGAATCTTTGTGGGCTTCGAGCGCCTCTGAATATTCTTCTTTCTGTAGGTATATTTTTTTAAATAAAAGGGTTTACTTTTCTGCACGGTAAACGTAGACACAGCGCTTCCCAAGATAAAACTTGGTATCTGTTTTGTTATCCACACCGTCAATCTTCAATAGGGCAGTACTCTCATGTTGGTTTCTTAGACCACGGCGGTATCCTGTGAATACGGCTTTGACGTAAAGTCTTCTAGGGACGCGCATACGCTTAATCTGCTTGGGCTTGGGAATCCTCTCCGTCGCGGTAGCCATAGCGGGTGAAGATAGCATGCAATTAGATGTAGAACCCGCTTCTTAAATTAAAGGGTTAAAAAAAAAATTTAATTATAAAATATTTTTTAATTTTATTAATAATTTTTATATACTATTTTTTAAGCTAAGATTAAAGTTTACATATAGATAATTTTACATTTAAATATATTCTTGAGTTGTTATTTTGTTGCCTTTTTCGCCGGCGTTTGTGATGCTGCACGCGCTAGCCCGTAAACCTCTTTATCCAGCTTTTCGGTTCCATTTACGGGGCATTCGGATTCCTAAATTTCCAACACCTGACAAAGGCTCTTATTACTATGTTATTCCCGAAATACCTCCTGATTCGCCATCAACCAATTCTTTGTTGAAGCTCGACTCATTCCCTTGGTTAGCCTATAATTTTTTCTTATGATTTAGCCTTAAGGACATCAGACCCGAACAGGCCTTTACTGGGGTATCTCGACTTATTATAGATTATCAAGTTGCGCTTTCAAAATTATCGGAAAAGTTAAAAAGCGGTCAGATTTACAAAAATGGGAAATGTATCCTTAGAGAGATTGAATCAGCCTCATACCCCATTGATAGAGCCTTAAATATGGTCAAAGCTGCAACCCTTATGCATTTTAGTCCTTCTTTGGGCATTATCACCTCGCGCCTTCTTTCCAAATATGTAACCGCTCGTTATGATCACTTGTGTTCTGACAGTGAAATATACCGGGCTTTATGCTTGATCAAAGCAGAAAACAAAGATTGCACGGATGAAGAACTAAGTAAATGTCATTTTTAGGATAGATTAGGATTAGTATGTTTTCT